CCCCCCCCCCCCCCTCCGTTTTTTTGCTATGGGCCTTACGCTTCGGATACGTCGCAGGCAGAGCAGGAAGACCGTAAGAGAAAGCTGGTTACTGCTGCTGCTGCTGAGGCCTCCTCTGTCGGTGGTGTGGGTGCCGGCGAGGGAGAAAGGGTCGTGGAGGTCGGAAAGGATGGTGCGTTCGACGTGGGCTCGGCGCCTTCGACGGTGAGTGGATGGCGCAAGGTTGTAGCTGTTATCGGTTTCGGGTTGTTTGTTGTTGTTGTTGTTGTTGTTGTTGTTGTTGTTGTTGTTTGGTGTTTTCGTTGGTATTGTTTGTGCTGTTGTTATTGCTGCTGCTGCTGATGATGATGATGATGATGATGATGACCATGTTGCTGTTGGTTGTTGATGTTATGGCTGCTGCTGTCGTTGCTGTTTATCACTACAATCGGACAAGAACTAATGTTAGAGTTCACCCCGAAGATGGCCCGGAACAGCAGTGCTCCCGATCGCGGACGATGCAGCAATCCAAACTTTTCTCGACCAACGATGAATCTGCGGTGGTGTTTGATTACTTGCTGCAACGTTCCATACGGGCGCCCTCCGAACGGTAGCATCCCACACGGTAAACGCCTGTCTATGATATGACAAACATCATACATGATAGATATCAGTAACGCGTACGGTGTATGGTATGAACCGAACAGGATGCGGCGGGAAGTTCGACCGTGGTCCAGACGGGAGTGGCGGCAGCGGACATGCAGGACGCCGTGAAGGCTGCGGCGGCCGCTGGCGGACTGTCTGCGGTACCAGCAGCGGCAGCAACAGCGGCGGCCGGTGGGGACGGGCCAGAAGAGGAGGAGGCTGGTGACAAAGATGATGACGAGGAAGAGGACAACTCCCCGCCTCGTAAGTTTTTGTTGTCCTTTGATTTTTTCGGTCGTCTCTTTTGTTCTTCTTTATCCTCTTTCGTTTTTGTGGTTCCATTTGTTCCGTTGTTTTTTTTATCCCTTCGCTTTGTATCCCATCTGTTCTGCACGTCGGTCCTTACATCTTACTGTACAATTCCTGGAAGCACCAGCCGGAGTCACACAAGAAGAAAGACACACAGGAGGTGTTATTCCAGCTTCCTTTCTGCGGTGCTTGCCTTGATTTTTGTCGCGAGAAGGACGCAGCCGTTCCTTTCCCTAGTCAAACCGTAAGGTCGAATTTTGGCGTACATTCCGAGTGGATCAGCTTGGTGCTCGTGTGATGTTTGAGGCTTGCCGCGTGCTGGGCTGCCGTAGGTGACACAAATTAGTAGAGACGATGGTGGTGCCGAAAACGGCGGCGTTGGAGCCGTCTTCGATGCAATGACTTTCCAAAAACGCATCGTTTCACTCATGCACCCTCCTCGTCGTGGAGTAACCGAGCTTTGAGAATCGGTCCAGGGGGTGTGTTATCTTGTGTCATGTCACCTACGGTAGTCGGATTCTCGGTCTTTACCACCTTCAGAACCCGATCGGCGTAGTCGCGGCAGCTCTAGGACAACCTACAATAACGGTGTTTTCAGGGTACCACTTACTACTGCCAGGAAAAGAGTGGTCTGGTGTCAATGTATTAAATACCCGCTGATCTGTGTGTTTCTGTACAGCCGGGATGGTACTTGTATGTTGTCTGCTGACTCCGGCACAACATTTCTTGGAAACAGACTGGTGAAGTGCGTGGAGTATCCTAGAAAGGAGAAGGGAGAGTTGAAATTTCGAAATGTGCTGAAAGTTGCGTCCACAACAGCAATTGATAGGGTGCTAGTGTTCGCGGCCTATTGGCGCGGCATAAGGTGTGCTTGATTCGAAACCACGTCCCACAAGACATGAAAAGAGTATGTGTTGTGTCGTACGGGTAGTCTCTCTGTGCTTGTGTGTATGTTTTCTAGGAAAAAATGTACATATCCGGGAGGGGTCCGCCAACCATTGTTGTGAAGACTTTGATTGATTCAGCGCATCATCCGCTCCGAGAACTGTCTCGAAACGGGTAGCCTACCTGCGACGATATTCGCACTCTCTATATTCATTGTTAGACGCACCGCCATGCCGCCCTCTTATGTTCGCTTGCTCAGAACGCTCTTACACAGTAGATAACCTCGTCTGAGCTCCGTCCGTCAACTACCTTTCTCGTCCGGCTTCTCCCGTATTTCTCCCCCCGATTCTGCAGCGGTCGGAAACGGCGGCAGCACGGACAAATACGACTGGACGCAGACTCTGCAAGAGCTTAGCGTGGTGGTCCCGGTGCCGGAGGGATCCAAGTCCCGAGATGTTGTGTGCGACATCACCAAGTCGCGCCTGAGGGTTGGGCTCAAGGGACAGCCCCTCCTCGTGGACGTGAGATGGACATGGGAGGGCGTAGTCGTGTTTTTGCATGCCTTAGTTGTTAGACCACGCGTCTTCCGGATGACGGAGCGTTGTTCCTTTTTGACCGACCACCGATGGCCAATCCGTCCCTCGTACTTGCCTTTGCCAAATATGGTCCCTACCCTATCTATCCTATCGAGCGGGGGGGGGGGGGGGGGGGGGGGGG